TAGACAAACACTTTGTTTCTAGTTTAAGGAACAAAAAGTTCCCTTACTTTTAGAGTGTACATCACAGAGGATGAACACAGATGGCTGAACAACCTCTCCAAGAAACTGTATCCAAAATTTGCCTAGACCGAATCTGTCTCTTTCCTGACCATATGCACGTGTCTGTATGGTCTGGAAATGGTAAGATCAATTTAGACACAAAATGCGCAATTTTTGGATAGGAAAGTGCAAAAATAAGAGTTACATAAAAAAAGAGCTTGTTCACAATGTAAAAAAAAAGCAATTAAGAGAACTGGAGTAGTGAGTGCATCTTGCAGTATACACTGTCGACTGCAGGCGTTACCTGGTGCTTAAATAGTGTATTTCGATTAACGGAGGAAGCAGAATAGCAGGTACAACATGAAGGTTCCTGCTTGATTGGCCGAGCGTCTACCCCCACTACCGGCGTGACGTAAAGGGGGTAAGCTCTCGACCAATCGGTAACGTTTATGTTCTACCCGCTATTCTTCTTCCTCCGTTAGTCGAAATACACTATACAGCAGTTTATGATATTTCCTCCACTTCACTCTGCCCATCTGCGCCAGACCGACCACGCCACACCATGCCTAATAAAATGCGATGCAGCCGTAACAGTGTCATTCCCACGTCTTTTGCTTAGCAAGAGCTAAAACAGGGAGCGTATGTAATCGCCCTGGTATTTGTGTAAATGGTACAAAATAATCATCTATCAAGCCGATTCTGCATATTCTTTTTCACCTGGCAACCAAATGATTCACTATTGTGTTATAAAATCATTGCAATTTTTCTTAGCCAAGTGATTCATCAGATTCTTATGATGAAGAATATGATTATAGACCCAGAAACAGGGTCTGAACAAATTTTTGTTTTATTGGTTATTACAAATTGAAGGTTGCTTTTGACTTTCGCTAATTGGTTTGTTCAACTTTTAGATGCATTGCAGTTGTCCCCTTCGGTCTTGTACTCGTGGGAGATTTAATTCAATTCCTGAAGATGAGTTTGTGGAAAGTGTAGAAGATTGAGAATATGGTTCCAGACTTAGTTGAATAGTTTATTTATTATTCTTGTAGCACACAAGGAATCACAATAGTGATGGTGAAGCTGGACCATCATCTCCTATCTCCATCAGTTAACGTAGAACCTCAAGGAATCATACCAACGATGGGCAAGCTGGACTAGCATTTCCTGCCACCGGTGAACAGGGAACTTCAAGGTTGCGTCAAGGGAATGGACTAGCAAATGGAGCTTCAAGTGAACAACATTCAGCAGTAAGTAGGACTTATTTATAAACATTTATTTTATCTAATTCGAATTTTAATATTAATTGATCATAATTTTTGTCGCAGCCAATTAGCAATGACAGTCAGTCCTCTGGGTCTGGAAATTCAAGCGTTGGAAGGTCCACACCTGGAGCTGGAGGTTAAGGTGCAGGATCTTCTGCCGGAACCACTACTGGTGGTGGTTCAGGAGCAGGACCATCTTCAGGAACCTCTTCTGTTGGTGGTGGTGCTTCTAATCCTAGTGAGTCGATCTATGAGGGATCGTTTTAATCAGCACAATGACAGGGTCATTCCTTTGAAAAAGTGTTCTGAGCTCAGTGTCGCGGTCTTGTACAAAATTAAAAATGCTGCTAGGGTTAATACTAAATTTGGACCAAGCATCCGTGTTGAAACTCATTATCCTCAATCTCCTACTGGAAATGTGTTTCTACTTTTACTTGCCCGCTTTAGAGATCTAAGTAATAGAGATCTTGATGAAATCAATGCTTGAGCCCTCACTGAGGAAGGTTATAATTTAGTATATAAGGGTCGGCTTGGTCGGGCAGATATGGTTGAACTTGTTTCATCAGAAGAGGCAAAGTTCAATGTTTAGTGAAATTTCAGCAAATTATAAATCTGATCTAATGTTTAGATGTTCATTGTTATGAAAAAGTAATAGGAACTGAAAACTCAGATGCTTTTCTGCATTTTTTTATCTCTAAAACTTCAATTCTCACTTGTATCAGCGAATACCTTATTTATGCAGAAATAAAGTTTTGAAACTGTGTTGGTTATTATTTATTTATCTTTAACTTTATGAACAAAATCCTTTTAGACTGTATATTGTGCAGACTATTTCTCTATTTGCAGCTTCAGAAACAACAATAATTATAATACAGTTTTTAGTTTTCTGTTTTGTAAGGCTGTGTTTTGTTTCTGTTGTACAGACTCATCTTTATTGATGTGCTTCTATTGCTGGATTTGGTGAATTGCATAAACTGTGATGACTTATGACTTCGATTTCGCGTTTGTTTAGTAAAAGTTTTAGTGATTCGGCTGGATTTGTTAGTTTCCTGTTAGCGTTAGTGCCGCTAAAGCGCTTATCGACCCTGTTAGCGGCGCTACCCGCTAACGCTAACCCTCAGAAAAATTAGCGCAATAACGCTAACGGATTGTTATTGTCGTGAAATCGTATTTCAGCGGTCGGTGAGGTACCGAAATATCCTTAAAAATCATCTTATACCATTCTGTGCCGATATCAATCATAAGAAACACTCACTTTGCTGTTTTGAGGAAATTATCAGCGGAACGTTTTCAGCGACTTAGCGCAGGCATCCCGAACCCGCCCCGAGCCCTGCCGAATGACAGGGGCCCGGCGGTCGCGCGGCGTTCAGGCAGAAGGATGTGACGGATCGAGCTGAAACTACGCGGCCATACTATCGACCTTCCCCTATCCGATGCTGCTTTCGGATTTTATATAAGTGGAAGCATTTGGAAGAAAATGAGCCGCACATTTGGCCGTGCAGGCCCTTGCCCGCCCGTCGTTTCCTCTCTATCTCCTGCTACTCCTTATTCCCGAGGGTCCAGCGGCGCGGCGGCCTGAGGGATTCCCGGCAAGATGTTTTGGAGGTAAGAAATTCATGTGTCACTAATCGTTAGCCTGAAGGTCGTCGGCTGCCCTAGTGGCACAGAACTGCCCTAAGATTGGTGGACAATAGTAGCAAAAAAATACGGACTATCGGTGCGATATACGAAATGTGAAAAATGATTCTATCGCTCTATCCTTTTTTCGTTGGAACTAAATCTTTATCGGCCAGCCATCGTAATAGAAGCGAAAAACCACTGTCGTGGATTCAACCAGGAATCGATATAAAATACATCAGAATGTAAGACAATGTAAATTTGATAGACCAGAAACAATCGTCTGACTGGGAAAAAGCCATCAGTTTTTGATTTTTGTTATCGTCACAATAACTGGCCGGTTGAAAAAAAAGTACACTATGTGCGACAGTTTTGTGACATTGTGGAGGCGTCCTCTCTGGCCCGTGTCGCATGCAAATGTCAACAGTTTACTACATCAATGAGTGAATCTTACCAGAGAATTTCTGTGAAATTATGAAAGAGGTATTTTTACAGGAAAAATTTGGGAAATTTCCTGTTAGTTTATAAAATTACACAGTTCGGTTACTCACCTTCTGCACTTTCTGTAAAACTACTACTTTTAAAATAGTGTACGGCAATTTTACATGTTTCCTGGATTATTCCAGTTGAAATGTAGTTATATTACAGCAACTACAGGTTTCCAAAAAATTTTCCATTTTCGTGTAAAATTGCCCGATTTGTAATTTTACAGAAATTGCGTGGGAAATTTCCTATGCTCCGTACAATTACCAGTATATTTCTGAACTAGGTTAGATGCATTCTCTTGTAAAGTTACGATTTTTTAAAGGATTGTATTTGGTATTAGTTTTGCAATAATTCTTTCGAGTTATTTTTCCCAGTGTTCTGTAATTTTACAAGTAGTAGTAATTTTGCTGGAATTTTACTTGGCAACTACAGTAGTACACCCAGACTTATGCTGTAAAATCTCCCCCCAAATTTTCAAACAGTGTGTTCAGTTTTCAAAACACTGCGTGTGTACACCATGTTTCACAACAAATTTAGTATTTAGACTGGTAAAACCTCTACTACAGCGTAGTTTTGACTGAAAACCTTTCCGTTTAGTATGTTGGCAAGCTAAGTTGTTTACAAGTTTCTTCTGGCGAAAAGGTTTTCAACTTACACCATATGGATTATAATCGTAGTACATCGTCCTTCTAGCTCCGTGCAGTTATACCAAGAGTGGGAAGGAGATCAAAATAAAGTGAAAAGTGAAATTACCCTTATAATAATAATAAAAAGTGTATAATGGCGCAAAGATTGAACAAAAACGTAATGGCAAAATAACAGTCGTGTGACCTAGCGTTTTAAATTGTACTTAATGTTTTCTAAAACATACTTGTAAATTGATGGAGGTAAGATTGTCGAATGTGTTTTTATTTTATCTTTGATCGTCTGCACCAACTGCCGTTCTTCGAGGAGAAAAGCTTCCGTTATTTTGAGCTCATCGTACAGCTGAAGTATTGTGTCAACTCTCCTTCGGTCGTTGAAGCCGTAGTTTTCCTGTTGTCATTAAATTTTTACAATTAAAGTGATTAAAGGACTGTAAAGCAGTGAGCACTAGAACGGCGAAAGTGATCATTTTCACTCTTTTTAGCCCGCCCTTCTGCTTTGAAAAAGCTTTCCAGCGGGCTTATGCAAACGACCTCGTGTGTCTGTGTGTCTGTCTGTTTCACTAGAAGTAGATGTGCTAGAGACTTGAAATTTTTAGGGTACCTTAAGGTTCACTCCTAGAGAACGAAACGCCTAAGGCGAATCCTAGCAACCACCCCCAAGGGTGTGAATGGGGGTATCCAAGGTTCAAATATTCGCCCTAAAAGTTATTTTTTTATGGTCTTCTATGGGGTAATTCGTCAAAGTAGAGCCCTTCGAACGAATATTTCGTCCGTTTGGCCCTATCTCTCTAAAAAATATCAGTATAGAATTCTGTAAATTGTTACGCAGTAATTAACATATCCCTATGATACAAATTTGTGTATCAAAAACGATACAGACTTTTATAACGGATACAAAAATCTGTTATTTTCATACAGATTTTTGTATTATGTTATAAGAGTCTGTATCGTTTTGGATACAGAAATTTGTATCATAGGGATATGTTAATAACTGCGTAAAAACGATACAAAATTTTGTATTTTTTTTTAGAGACCGTTTAGGCGCGGGAGGGTCTTTTTTGACGAAAATAAGGTAAAAATTGCTGCAGTGAACGGTAAGTTGTGGAAGAAGGCGTAAAAACCACAATATAGGAAAGAAAATCCCCCCCCCCAACCCTTTCAAAAAAGTTTTTTAAGCAGAAGGGTGGGTTGTATAGTCACAGTGCTTCACTGTTACATCCCTTTCTCGTGTCTACGTGTTTTGGTACTTTATACTCCCTTATAGAAAGAAATGAGACCTGAGCGGCGGCGCACAGTTAAAGTCTTACGAAGCAAAATGCCAAATGCTTCGTACCTACGAAGGATTTTCCCCCTACGAAGAGTCAAAATCCTTCGTATTACAAAGGATTTGGAATTTTTCTTCGTAAGACTTTAACAGTGCGCTGCTTCCAGCTCCGGCCGCTAGGGCGCAGCACGCTCTGAGTCCAGTAGGAGAAATAAACCGGTCAGGTGCGCCTATCAGATGGACCTACACGTTTAAAACCAACAATAACTTAAATAAGATCCCTTTTCAAGTGAAAATACGACGTGATGTAATTGCAAAACCTAACCCAAACCCCCATTTTGAGCGAACGATTTCTCATAGTAGACTCAGAGAGTGCTGCGCCCTGGCGGCCGGAGCTGGAAGCAGCGCTGCCGCATTTCTTTCTATAAGGGAGTATAAAGTAGTGTTGACGTTTATTTTCCATAAAGTAATAAACATGCTGGTCAGGACACAAAAAAAGGTTACTTGGGTACATCTTCTCGTCCCCTTCTACCTATTCAGAACAGAATGTACCTTATTTCCAGGCGTTAGCTGTTCTCTTGGCACTATTTAAGTTTCAAAATAAGTGCGTAGGATAATTTTTTTATGAAATTTGCGTGATCAATCATTTTTTCTTCCAAAATTAAACACAAGCAATGTTAATCGTTTAAATTGCAGAAAACTGTGAAAATCTAATATACAAGACTACCAGGTTGCCTACCTATACAATACAGGGGCCTTCGATGTGGTAAAAGCTGACATCATTTCACTCAAAGTTCATAAATCTTAAGACCTAGGCTAATAAAGATTGAAAAATGCCGAAAAATACACGCAGGGCGCAGGGGCGCGGCGCAGGGTCCAACACAGTTATTAAACCAACTTTATTTGGGCCTAGGCTCTTAGGGTTTTGTATGCTAATAAATAGAGAACAAAATGACCCCTGTAGCCGTTCTAGATAAACAGGAACCCCGGCCGTTCTAGTGTAAGGAAGCCCGTCCGCTGTGCCAGAATTTAGAATTCAGCCAAAGAATGCTGTTTTTGCCGCACAGACCAGTA